ACACACACACACACACACACACACACACACACACACACACACACACAGCAACACATTTGCATTCCACTTCTCTCTGGATTATTTTGTTGAAATACCACGAGCGGCTGAGGTGTCAAGCAAATGGCAGAAATTCAGATTCTTGGGGTGATGAATACTGATGAAGATGCAAATGGGGTGGGTGAGATACTTGAGTATGTGACAACAGTCAGTAAGAAAAAGGGCACAGCTTGGAAAGCTGCAGAACATTCTTGGGAAAATATTCTTTTAAAGACAGGCTTGAAACTAGTGTTTCAATAGAGATGCCCTTCAGGTCTTGTCAACTAAGAAATTGTGGATTGATTTTTTTGATTGGTTTTTGTTCCTTAGTAATCACACTTCACTGACCTCATACACACATTGTTTTTTCTGTCAAACCAACTAATAGATTAGTTAGACTATTAGACCTTAGACTATTGGGAATGTGTAAAGTGAATTGACCTTTAAATGAGAGACTTGAGGAGAGGATCTATAAAAAAACAAAACACAGTAGCCACTCCACAGAACTGTCGGTGGCTTATATCCCTCAAAAAATTAAATTAATAGTTACTCACAAAAATGATGGAAAGACCATAGAAATATGGCTACACAAATTAACTCCCCATTCTTCTCCATAATCTCCAGGAAGTATTAGCTAGCCAACCTACTGACTGTCACTATGTATCGACTCCACTCCACTGCTCCTTGACCCATGAAACTTAATTAATTTTGTTCTGCACAACAGCAGCACTTTAACTCTAGTTATGATATGTTATGGTGAGCCACAGGGCTATATCCTTGGCCCATTCTACTTTGGAGCATCGTAATTCATAAAAGACAAAAAATGATCCATTCCCATATATAATACACAAAGACATGCATAGCTGCAGTGCATATTATAAAATGTCTTCATCTCACAGTTTCGTCTTGTTTATGGTCAGACAAGCTCAATCTTCTCTTAATTGTTGACATTTTAGGGTAAGTAGAGTCTCATTCATCAGTTCATTAAGAATCTTGTTAAACGCATCAAGTGACCATTAAAATGACAATAATAGAACCTACTATGTACAGAAATACAAAACCACAGTTGTTAATGTAATATGTGAATCCCTTTAAGCATTTTGAACGGTCAGAGAGGTGTTTATTCAGCTAAAAGGTGTATCAAAGTGTATGCTATTGTTTAAAATTACTTTAATGTGTTATTATTGGTTAAATAGTCCACTTTATTGCAGTTACCGGTCTGTTTAGCCACTGCTTTCATATTTGTGTTTGTTAAGGACTTTGCAAAATTAACAATTTTCTAAAAGTAATGCATTCAATTTGACCTTTAATAATATTCAGATTGGATTGACACTGTCAGAGAGTTATCTCCATAAACGTAGAATTTGTAGCAGATCAGTTGTAGTAGATTGCATGAACTTGTAATTGTGTAACTACTGCAGAAGCCAGGTATGTTCAGCACTATTTTGAAGACGCACAGCTGAATTTTCAGTACAAGTACACAAGAACAGAAAGAAATGTGCCACTTAAGATTTTAAGGCTTATAATTATGCATAGATATGCGAACACAGGGCAGGCTGATGGAGGTAAATGGACAAACAGCATAGATTGTCTTCAGTATAAAACAACATGCATGTGAGCGAGTTTGAGCGTCTGACCTGATGTGGCACTAGACCCAGAGAGGTGGGAGGTTCATTCATTCTGTCGTCACTGCTGCTTGCCACTGCGTAGCCTCTGAGGGAGGAGAGCGAGGGGGAGGTAATTAAATACTTTTAAAAAATTGACTGAAAGAGGGGAAAAAAAGTGTTAAATCCCCACAATATTACACATTATATGTCAGGTACGAGCCTCACACAACAACAAATAACCCTAATGCGTGATGCTAATTCGTTTTATTATACAGGGTTGTAGCAAATCTAGACAGAAAATGTAATGTCACAAGACTGTGAATTTGGTAGCCTCTATTGAGAACTAAGAGATTCTATTTGCTTGAACATTTTTAAAGTTTTACATTTTCCATGAGATCTGAGAGCCACTGCTTTCCAGTAAATCTAGCCAGGTTTAAAAGATTTGACTCTCCGTGGATAACAATGATGAAAACATCAAGTCTCACACTGAGCTCAGTTTAGTTCTGCACGTTTGAAATGTCCGTCAAACTGCTGCAACATGAATCCTTGTGTGACAATCTTCTAAAGCCCATGGTTGTTCATATGAGCGCTGGCATAAAGGCCTTCAAAGGGAGAAAGAGATGGCGGAAATTAAGTTTAAAAGAAAGAAAATAAACAGCTATGACGTGAAAAACAAGGACACAGAGAGGGCAGATGCAAATCGAGGGAGATCTTGTTGTAAAGGAAGGAGTTACACAACCATAGAGGTACAGAGTTTACATTAAAACTCTCTTTCTCTTCTTTGCTTTCTAAGCTCTTTATCCAGGAAAGTCAGAGCAGCTCTGTAACGGCTTATAACATCTCAAAACACTCCGAGAGAAAATGTCTGTCTTATCAGGCCCAGCAAGCAGCCACTTTTGTACGACTTTCAACCAAACAGGCACACACAATTACATTTCCACAAAGACACATCTGTGCACACTTAATAAGCACGAAAACATCGCCTTCAGTGTGTGAAAAATTATAAGAACTTTTAAGAGTCAAAAATATCGAGCCAGGGCGGAATGGGAAGCAGTTACTATGGCGGCGGAGGAGGAAGCAGAGGCTCTATGAACGGGCTGAGCGGGGGATGGGGAATGTAGATTTTGTTTGACAGATTGGCAAGAAAACTTGAGAGCTGACTGAATTACAGTGTTCGAGCTTTTGAGGAATAAAAGTGAGAGATGGATTATAAGTTGCAACAACGCTTCTGCAGCGATCACAAGTTCTTGGGCTGAAGTACAGCTAATTTGTGGTGCTGTGCTACAACCAAATTAAAGGCACTATCTGCGGTGCAGTAAGACCTCAGCTTCAGGGTTGCTCCATCAAAAAGCAAAAGTAAGCAAGTAAAGTTTCCTGACAGTTGAGGAGCCACGACATCAAAAGGCACAATCTCCTTTAGCTTTAACCCTGGAGTGAGGTACCCAACACACTGAGGCTCACTGAGGTAGGTGAAGGTTTTTGCAAGGATCTTTTATTGGATTCTGATTTTTATGTGATTTAATTGGAAAAATTGTCCCGGCAATAGGATAAGCCAGGCTGAGGCTCACCATAAAGGATCAGAGCTGTTTTCATGTTTTCTTGATGACATGAAACGTTCTTTTTGTGCATAACATCGATTTAACAATGGAGCCGTCATTAGAGATAACCTTAAATCCCAGTGCAACATTTTCCTTTCTTCAATCAATTTAATGAGTTCTTACTATTTCTTATAATTGGCCTACATAACTGGTGCAAGTCTGCTGTGCTTACCCTTCACTGTGCTGCAGAATGGACACCATCATCTCCACAGCCAGGGCTCCAGCAATCATGGCCAGGCCTGGTCTGCTCACTGTGCACTGCTGATCCAGAGTCCGATCCCTGGTCGACTGTTTACAAAAAATAAATAAAAATGACTTCTTTAATAATTACTTCTGAAATAAGGAATGAAGAGAAGATGATTAACACTAATCAAATGTGTTTTAGAAGGTATAAAATGATTCCATTTTACTCCGAATGGGTCAAGATGATGCTGTTATCCAAAGTGACGTATGTTGAGTGAGCAATTAATGACTAAATTGCTTGATCACAGTTTGGTGGGAATCCTTTTAGTTAAGTGGCATTTAATGTTGCCATACTATTTTCATAATTGGGCCCATTTATGTCTGTATTAAATTACATGACACTTCTAATAGTTGCCTGGATATTGGCTGGATCAACAAAGCAACAGATGGAAACACGGATGGATGGACCAGCTAAGCGAGATCCACAGAGCTACACCGTGAGCATGGCTACAAACACTGAAGTGTTTGTTATAACAGCTGATCAATGACACTGTAGTGACAGACTGCGTGTGTTTCACAAGAAGTTGAATATGTACCATTTTGCTTCAATTCAAAACAACTTGTATACGTATTATATTAGCTAGAACTTTCTATCCATTCATTCAGCAAACTCAACATTTGTGAGAGGAAGCTGTGCCTCCAATTCAAATGTTAACATCACTAAAACCTGTGACAGCAGGATGGAGCCATATGGCATTTTTAGGAGAGCTGAATAGCAGTTTCCATGTTGCCTTCAACAGCAGATTGATTGCTTTCATATATATCAAAAGGTCATGAAGGGAGAAAAAGACCAACGAGAGAGAAACAAAGAGTGAGAAACAAAGAGTGTCACAAAGGGTACAACAATGGACACAAGACACACAATGGAAATGGCGAGAAAAAACAAAGGCCGTGTCATACACCTCCCTCCTTTTTTTAGAACATGATTAAACACAGCATTTCAAAATGCTACAATTTTTTCAGCCTATGACAATGATCATAAAATCCCATAAAAGAATCACATAAACCATACAATTTAAACCTGCATCAATATGTTTATAAGTATTTTTTCATCAGTTGGGGGCAACGGAACAAATGTTAAACACAACATTCCCATATTATCAATTTCTAAAGTTGATATTGCGGAAGTGTTAGCACACGGCAACATTAGCATTCATTTTGAGTTTCTGGGCAACTGACAAATAAAAGTACAATATTCACTCTCTTTTGAGCTCTGTTTTGGTCTCCTAGAAAATATCTGACTCTTACCTGCTGAATACTACATGCATAGTTGTGTTATAACTGTAGGGTTATGATAATGAGCAACACCTTTACCTAGTCACTTGGCCCATAAAATAAAATAAGCTTTAAAAAAAAGAGTGTTGGTTGAAGAAAACATATCTAAGAACCCTAATTGCTTTGTGTTTATTCTTAAATATTTTACCTTTTTGGCAGTGTGTTTGTTTTAAGTGCATTACGTGAGTTAAAGAGTTGAGCGCATGCTTGTGTTTTCCTCACATCGCCTGGTGCCACGACATCATTGCAGAAGTAGCAGCCCAGCTTGTGCCCTGGGATGTTGGAGAACAGAGAGGATGCTGGGACAGAGGGCGCGGTGCCGGCCGATGTGGAGGACGAAGAGGAAGCAGAAGAACAGGAAGTGGAGGAGTCTGCTGCTGCAGAAACACCCTGACTGACGGGGGCCGTCTTCAGGCCGTGGCGCATCACGACAAATGTGTCAAAGCCTAGAGCTGCGTTAACCACCAGCTGGAGAGTGAAAGACAGCAATTATGGTGAATCATGACAACAAAAATGTTTTTAAAAAGCAGTGGCAAAGACTTTGGCTTCATCCATTCCTCCTAAACACAAACACAGCACATTTCAACCAAATCAAATTAGCTAAATGGCTCATTTTACACAAACAAAAAAGCTTGTAATGGGTTGAATCATTAAAAAAAGTAATGACATAAAACATTAATAGGCTCTTTACAATGTTGAAAGCATCTAGAGTAGGAAATAAATTGTGAAGCCAATTTGCGGTGAAGTCTAAAACAGCTCCACAGCACAAATGGCCAAATAACCTCTCAGCTGAGCAGGCCATCAAGAAAACCTAATCAGCAGTCCGAGAAAACATTCAAGTGCTTATAGCAGTACAGAAGCTGCATGGGTGACACCACTGGAGGTTTTAAAAATGAATGACACAACGTTCAATAATAGTCTGAAGTTGCCTGGCAACTAATAGAATTCCAGCTGGTAAACAGAAGATGTGGCCAACATTATTGAGCAAATTCAATTTACTGGAAGATAATTGAAACTGTTTCCAAATTTAAAAGTTCCAGCTTAAAGTAAAACAAAAACAAGACACAAATGTCTCTGGCCACAGTCTTGTCTCTACTCGGTCCATTGGATCCTTTAAGCAAACAGATATGTGGATTCCTTTAACTAGCCTTAGTACTACCATTGAAATAATGTACATAAAACATGTTTATATTTGAGATCACAGTGCAACATTGATGCAACACACCAGACATTTGTCTGCAATTAATGTCGTTTTTTTTAATAACTGCCTCAGTGGTTTTGGCTTGTGGTACATTATAAGACAATTTCCCCATTTAAAAATCCAGTAAACACAAAACACTGGCATTTGGTTCATTGTTCACATAGAAAATGCGTGCATTGACCCCACACGTTCGACCCCGGCCCCACTGGTCAGCGACAGTGTGGCTGTTCTGTTCTTCCTACCTTCCTCTTGCTGGCAGCTATCACTGTAGGCAGCCAGCGGCTCTCCCTCGTGTCCATGAGTAAGAAGACCACATCGTGTTCTGAAATGAGCTTCTCCAGCTGCTCGACATCCGTCTGGGCCTGGGAAAGAGTGGCCTCGGAGAAATTCACTGGATGACCGGGCATGGGGATGCTCATATTGTGACCCTCTGCATTCTGCAGGAGGACACAGAGAGAGGCGGAGAAAAAACATTTGAGGAACTAGTAAGTTTTGTATCCAATTTTCTTGTACAATGATTTTTGGTTTTCATTTTGCAGGGCATCTGCAAGCATGAAAATGTGATATTGGAATTATAATTATGAAGTGCATCACACATAGATTTCAATTTGACTGAAACATTACAAATCAACATTTTCTGGACATCCAAATTCTAAACTTCGGATATATTAGGAAGTCACTTTTACTGCCAAATAAAAACCCCCACACCTCGAAAAGTTTTTATGTTCCTTGCCTCTAGATGGTGCACATCAGCTGCTGCCTTCCTGGGTATATGCAACATTGGTATATGCAAGAAACACTTAATTCAATGCTTTCTAAAACGAGCCCCGACATGAAATATTTCCAAAAGTGTATAAGATGCAATGACTTGTGTTTCAGCGCCATCTTAACATACTTGACACAACAGAAAAATCCTGAAAATTTTAAAAATAGTTTTAATAAATTATCAGTTGCTGTATGATAAGCCAGATGTTTAAAACTTAACAAACTAAACTAAATAAGTCTTTTCGTGCTTTCTGCCGAGTGACATTCTAATCTAGACGGATAAGTGAGGGCAAAGCACAGGCAGATTGTGCTTCTTCACATCATCGCCACAGCTGGCCCGAGGCCAGTGTGTGTGTATTTGACTCTCCTGTATACGTCGATGGTATGGAAGTATGAAAAGGAAACCCTGAATTGCCATTTCCAATTCCATAAAAACTCTTCTAGGACTTATATTATCCATTGCCAAACGTATTACTGTGACTTGCTCCAGGCAATGCAGGCTTGACAGCAAGGCAAATGGAAATGTCAAGAGAGATTTTACAATAAAGAGACGGACAGAAATGTCAAAAAAAGAGGTGCGAGATCTTAACAAGCAGAAATGCCAGTTTTACCAAATCAGTGGATCTACTGCCTTCGCTCTCCATGTGTCGAGAGTGGGAGCTGTTAACCGAGTTTTGAATTTACATTTCACTTTGACGCAAGTGTTGCTAAGTGTTAATGAGGTTATTTCAGGCTGCAGAGATGAGAGTAATATTCTAACTTTCCTGCAAGACAGACAAACAGAAATCATTCCGACTGTGGAAAAATCCTGTCCTGAACAGATAAACAGCATTTCATGACAATCCAACAATGCCACTGTTGATATCTTCAACCTCACTGTTGACAAAATTTAATGGAGAAAAAAAGAGCCAACACCACAAACTCTCCTGAAAATGTCAAGTGACAGTATTCGTCCACAGACAAAATATGAATTCAACTTAGGACCTTTTCAACATTGTGACCTTGTGTGAACCGACTCCTCTCGGTTCAGCTGGTGCATTTCTGTGCTCTCTCTGTTCCTTTCTATCTTTCACACTGGCACCTGGTGCCTCTGTGTTTGTAGGAAAACAAGCTGGGAAGAGAGAGAAGAAAGCACACACCCACACTGATAAAAATAGGTCAGCTATGGATGCAGATAGTATAGGAGGTGGACAAACAAGATGTCTAGACAGACAGCAGATGTCATGAAAACACATCAACAGTCAAGCCTTTGCTCTTTATTTTCTTTTTTATTCCCAATAAGAGGGAATCAGAAAATGACAGTATCAGACAGAGAGACTGGGAAATAAAAGTTGATGAAATGTCAATTAGGGACATCAAAGATTAAACAGACTGCGCTCTACTTTCCCGATACAGGAGGACTACGATATGCATTTAAAAATGAATGTGTGTAATCTTCAACTAAGACTTCAGAGTGATGCTTCAAAAGATTCACAACATCCAAAACCTGCATAACTGCTGCCTGCATATTTAGCGACTTTTAAAATCTTAATTTTAAAAGTAACAAGTAACTACAGCTGTCACATGAATGTAGTGGAGTAAAAGTAGAACAGTAAAATGTAGTAGAGTAGAAGTGCAAGTACCTAAAATCATTTCACAACAGACCCATCGCCTGAGATTGGAGTGGTTGCCAGATGATTAATGGGATGAGGGGGAATATTTCTATTGCACAAAATTAAGTTGAATTCTTCATTTTTTGGATTTTTATTCCCAAGTGATGTACTGTATTCTCTCACATTTTCAGGGCCCTAAAAGTCCTATAAATTAAACTATTTGAGAGAAAAACAAAATCACTTTTGGTTGAACTGCTTCCTTTAAGGGGTCCCAAAAAGGCTGTGAACCACTGAGCTGGGGGACCTAATAACTACTTACCAGATACAAAGGGCTGTAACTTTGCCATCTCAGGGCAAGCAAAATGAAAGTGAATCATCCTTTAATGAACTGCCTACATCTTCTTGCATAACTAAACATGCACTCATCAGCACACTGGTACACACATGATTCACATCATGAATACGTATTCGGTCTTTGTTATAAGAGATGGTCGCTTTCACAACAAAACAGAGCCCTGCTGGGACTGTTAGGCTGCTTTTTCATTTAGTAAGACAGCACAATGTCTTCCTCGGAGCACCCACTCGTTAATTAACAAAGTAATGAAACTGCCTGCATTAATATGCAAACACGACTCTTCATTTTCTGCATGGTTTGGCCATCACATCTCAGACATGGCCAATCAAATAGGAATACGATTATATGGATATATGAGCATGAATAAAAATCGGATTAAATTGTCAACGCAATTGTACAGCAGTGACGTCTGCTGCACGAATGTGAAAAAACAACAGAAGCACAATGCTTATCAACGCTAGGAATAAAAACTAAAAACAGACGACAGATTTCTGATGCTAATATATCAGAATTCCAGAGGGCAAATGATGGATGACCTCACATACAAAGAGGGATCACATTCCGCATCATATTTTGATTTTAAGTACCCACCACACCGGGAAAGATTTTGGTGAGTCGATCAACAGCTGCCATGGCTTTGAACTTCCCTCCTCCTAGACAGTCTTCAAACTCATAGAGCGGCTGCCGAACTGGATTGGAGTACGAGATCTTCGCATTGTCTACAAATGTGATGCGTCTCACTCCCCATCCCTGGAGAACCAAAGAGAAACATGTTTCATCATTTTAAATCACATTGTTTTAAAATAGTTAAACTCTATTCTTTGCCATGAACATTGTCCTCAGCAGCACTTTGTAAGCAGCTTCAGTGACAATGAGTGGGAGGTTGTTTACCCAGTGTGCGTTTCTAAATTAATACTTACAATTCCACTTTCATTTAGAAATAATGGACTCATCAGTATGCAGGTAGTACAACCTCAAGGTATTCTAGCTGTTGTTCATTAGTACCACTCTCTGTTAACACAACGTCTAGCCACAATATCAGTTACATTAGACCGGGCTGGCATTAACTGACCGGGTGTCTAAAGTTCCCTCGGACCAGTAACTGACGAGCACAAAAAGAAGAATAGACATGACAGGCAGCAATACTCTGTCAGCACTATATTGTAGTCAGTTAGTTAAAGTTCAATTTCATACATTGTATTCTAGCTAGCAGGTGGTGGTGTATGAAATATATCTCAAAACCTTCAGAGAACCAGCTTTTTGGATGTGTTCACTGAAAAGCACATTCATTTGATGCTGGAGGGAACAGACTTACAGTAAACACAGAGAGTGACGGTAGGTTGTTATGTAAATTAGCATTATGTTGTTCTGAGTGTTATTGGATAAACTTCACGGGAAATCTGTGGATAAAATCATGGGCTCCTGAATTATACTGTTATGAAGCTAAACAAATATGCCTGCTCTTGACAAGTTGATCATTTAAGGTTATTAGAAAGCACTACATTATAACCAACATCAGAGGGGACACATTTTTGTAATCAACATGTTCTGCGGAACATGTTGATTACTCTGTCAACAGAGTAATCTAGCGCTTCTCTGATAATCAACTGAGCTTGTATTTGCCAAGACATTAAATAGCTCATCAGAATCTTGACTAAGCGGTCACTGATTGCTCTCTGTGAATGTCAACGGTAACCATATGTACAATAATATGACAATCTAACGAGAACAACAACCAGATATCAGTTGAGGTATTGCGTCACAGACTGCTTTGGCTGCTAGGTGCACAAATGTCGCCAGGTAATGAAGTGCAAAAGCTAGCTCACCAATAGGAGATTCTGGATGTGTTTTCTGGAGAACAGACTATTTCTCCAATGTTAATATCCTTTTCTTTTGTTTTCTTTTATGACGCTTCATTTGTAACACTTCATAGATTCTGATGAGTATGGAGGCACATTGCTGTCAAATGTCTGGTACTAGTAGAGTAATTACAAGACAGGAACCTGCTAATTACACATAGATTAACAGCAAAGATCACACTACACTCCTAATACCTTTTTGGTCATGTACAATTTTACATAATTTGCTAAGTACTAAAAACACAGCGTCTAATTCCTGTCTTTTTCTCCGTGTATCCTTCCATCCTTACCATCAGAGTCCTGGCTACATTGCAGCCCAGAGTCCCAGCTCCCAGTAGAAGACACTTAGTGGAGACCACCTTGTCCAGGTCCAGGGAAGGAACCAGCCTCCATCTCATCAGCTTCAGATTCAGGTCCACTGATGACTCTGCAAGTCTGCAGACAATCAATGGAGACAACTGAAGACACTCTTTGTTCACAGAGTGCAAACTTACGGTGACAATTGTTTTAAAGCAACAGATGGCAGAGCATGCATTACTGCAGTAACGCTGAGAAGAATTACATTAGTCTTGATTGTGGAGGTCTGGTGGAACATTTGTAAGAAACCAAACCAGTCCCTGAACATAAAGCACCAAATACTTTCATTAGATTAGATTATCTACTTTGCCCAATGCAGTTTAATCATATCCTTTTTTATATTTATTGTTGAAATGTGTTTTGGTCTGGAGGCTAACACAGTCCAGTTAAACCTTTACACCTAAACACCGTGTACTGTGTTTATTACCTTTTAGGGTCCATGCATTCACTGAGGTTGACCATCCTGGGTCCCATGGCCCCTTTAGGGTTCTTCTCCCAACCTACACTCTTGGGACATGCTGTGAAAAAAACACATCAACAGTGTCAAATAAGCATAAAATGCCCCTGCTACAAAAGTGAGAGATGTGGAAACGGTTTTCAGAAAAACAATAAAACATTGAAACTTTAAAAGTGCTCATTCTCAAAAATTACAAAAAGGCAGTTTCTCATCTACCACTACAGTGGTATCACTGTTCAGCTTTGGCTGCTCGGTGCACAAATGTCGCCAGGTAATGAAGTGCAAAAAAACAGTGAAAGTTGTCTGGACGTGGGCAAGTTAAATAGCCCGCGTGGTTTAAATACAGTTTAATATGTGAATGTTAAATTATCATGAAGTTTATTTCTCTATTCTGAAGAGCAAAACTCTTTTTGGTTGTGGCAAAAACTGAGCCTGGTGTATCTGAAAAATTGGGCTGAGCTAGATTGATTAATCCGTTTCAAAACGATACCAAATTAGTCCATACAAAACAAAACAGAACAGACGAATCCATTTTAGTTGCATAAATACATATTCTGTGAGTTAATTAAAAGCCACAGTGTGCTGGAGAGGTAGACTCGGTAAACAAACTTCTTCTGAACTCAACAAAAACCATCATCACCTTTCCCGTCCTGCTATTATAATTTAAATTACCTTCATCCCTCATTCAACAGATACAACGAATAATGAAGGAGCTGTGTGAGATTAGTGCGGCTTGAAAAGGAAGCAGAAAGTCTCAGTGGAAAGTGGGCGAGCACTGATGGCTCAGTTACAATATACACACGCATGCATTCAGATGAACAAGGACAAATGCACATGCAGACACAGACATGAGACATACCAACACACGCACATGTTACGTGGACAGATACAACCACAAGCACACAAAAAAGAAAAGGAAATGACCTGAGTTGAGGGGAAGCTCAGGCAGTTTTATCTGGAAGATGACACCGTGCTGTATGGAGCGGCTTCCTTGCAGAGTTCGGTCCCTGAAACACAGCACCTCCACTGTGTCCAGCTTAGAGCCCCTGACACAAACACACAAATCAAGAGGAGACGATGCAAATCAACACACACGCACACACACACACACACACACATAAAATGTACAGATTGCACACTATAAAGTGTATGATTGAAGTAAAAAAAAATATGGGACTATCAAAATTTCACAAATACAAATGGAATACGCTCTCTCTCTCTAAAGCAAGAACCAACAGATGGGATCAACATGTATCCACACACTAACACATTTCCCTATCATGGTACTAAATGACCACAGTCACATTACACAATCAAACTCCAGCGGTACAACTGAATAAGCGAGACATTGCGGCTACATTGTAACTCTATCTTTACCAATCTCAGCCAGTATCAACAGTTTATGTTTAACACTGAAAGAGTTGTGTTGGACAAAAACCGCCTCTGACTACAGAGCTGAGCGCTCAGCTTTCTTAAGGCATTTGCTGCTGACAAGCCACTGGCATCACAGGATATACGATTGCTAAACTGGCCTACATGGGATTTCCTTGTTTAAAACGGAACAATAATTATGCAATAAAAATCCTTCTGAAATAGCGAGACAGGTGCCGGCAGAAACTAAGCTCTCTGGGGAGAAGTGACTGATTGTGGACCTGTAATGTAGCACTGAAACGTGCAGCACCAAACGCAGTGATATTTAACTGATATTCTCAGACGATGGTGCAATATGATGATGTAATAATGTTTTCATTCGAAATTATTAAGATCAATTTGAAATATTATTAGTTACATGCAGCTAGAGAACAGAACAGCCTCCATGCGGATTTGAGTTTTGCACCTCCACTATTCATCCATTTTTAACAAATAAACTGAAAACAAATTTGTTTAGTTGAGCTGGGAATTCACTTTTGTTTCCTTGTCCTTGGTATACATATTATGTTATCTGTCTGTGTGTATCTTTTAAAGTTTCATCACTCTGTAAAGCAAATACAAGCACTTCTTTGGGACATTGTTCTCTACTAATAAACCTGATCAAAATCAACAATGTAAGATAAGATAAGAGAATCCTTTATTAGTCCCGCAGTGGCGTAATTTACAGGATCACAGCAGCAAAGTGGAGAGTGCAAACAAGGTACAAAAAAAAAAAACAAGAGCAGCAAGTATTATAAATAAGTAATAAACAGTAAAGAATATCAAGTAAAAAAGTACAAAAATCCACAATAACTAAATATAACTAAGAATAAAAGATATTATATATACATATTGCTATTGCACAGTGTAATCATTGCACCGATTTTGTTTAGTGTTGTTAGTGTTGTGTGGTCTACTGGGAGCACAGCTGGTTGTGCAGCCTGACAGCGGCAGGAAGGAAGGAGCTGCGGTACCTCTCCTTCACACACAGGGGGTGAATCAGCCGGGGGGGTGAATCAGCTGGGGGGTGAATCAGCTGGGGGGGTGAATCAGCCGGTGGCTGAAGGAGCTGCACAGAGCAACACATGCCTAATACCTAAGAAGCCCAGCAGCACATGCTTTAGAAATGGTATGCACTAATAGTTAATAATATTGATTTGTCATAAACGGCAAATACATGCAAAAACTCCGGTATGGTAAAACTGGACACAAGGCTGAAATAAAGACTTTTGGGTTAAATAGTCCAGGGAAACATCTCCTAACCTGGTTTGCAACAAGATAAGGAACTGGCTACAATGATAACATGGGAAACTCTCGAAGCACAGCCTTGTTTGAAATCAAGAATGAATTATATCTGTAAGTAAGAGGCTGAGTTTGTTGCAAACAGGAAACTATTTTAGGTCCTGTAGATAGTTAAGTTCTTCCATCCTTGGCTAACAGTTTTGTTTCTACTTTCCTAATATTGCATCAGTCTTTTCAAGTTGGTTGCTTTTCGCTACAGTACAGGGTTTTGAAGACATTGCACAAGATAAACTCTTGATTGCTAAATTATAGCTGACATGGGATTGAAATTACTGAGAGGCACCTGCAGAGTGAGTCACTTGTTTTTAATCTTTGTGTAAATATTTGAATACGCTCAGACCTTGATTCTTAGATTCATTACTAAACATTTAATCCAACGATTTGCCCCAATTCCTCACTGGTGTGTGCTGAAATATTTCCTCTGTAAATATTTCTGTGAAATATATCTCAGCAAAGCACACACAAGCTTCCACATAACACCCTCATCTCTGCAACAACTCGAGTCAGTACATTGTACGAGCATTTTATGAGCTCTTACATTGAAATGCTTTGAGTATAAGCAGAAGTTATTTTTATTTACAAAACAAGAAGCCTCGCATGCGTTATTTACTTGCATGTAATACGCAATTTTACATAATTCCCTCCCATTTACCTGCTACCAGACCCCTCCTTCAACTTATGAATGGCAGAACAGAGACATTTTCCTGCTGTTCAAAACCTCAAATACATGGTGGCAGAAATGTATAACATCAACAACAGCCTAAAGTATTATGAAATATCATTATTGATAATATACAGTAGGTTTGCAAAGGAGCATTCAGTGGCTAGCTTAATACTTTGTTTACTAAGTTTCAGGAGTTGAGTGTTTACACAAGATAGCCAATGGTGTCTACAGACAGCAGCTGCTGTGTGTGTCATAGATGGGCCTGACACGGGTTAACAAACCAGCCATTGATGTTCACTTGAATGTAGCAACTGCATTATCAGATTCCCAAAAAACGGATGTATCCATTTGGAAAGGGTGCAACAATCACTAGCACAGTCCCTGACGCACACGTGTATTGTATGTGAAGGGTTTTTTGGGGGGGGAAAATCCATTTTTGAGTAATATTGGAAGTCCTTCAGTGGATAGAGTATTCTTGGCAGCAAGCACTGAAGTTCTCACACTGAAATGTCTGCAGACTAGGATGACTAGTTCACAAAATAAATTAAGTTAAATTATCTATGTCTGACTTTTGTTTTAACACCAGGATGTGAGCAACGTGTAAGATATTGAGAAAAATTGACCAAGTTTATCATGAATATTTACAGCTTCGTAGACAAGTATTGCAATCTTAACGGCAGCAGTCGTGTTCTGCAAGCCAGTGCTGCCATCTATAAATCTTAGCTAAACTCTAACAACACCACTGTGGCTAAGCAACAGCCAAACAGTTGTTTTTCACTCTGACAGAAAAGCTTTGATTTTAGCGACACCATTAAATTTGGATTTGCATCTTTACTGGCACCGATGCTTATATGACCTGCTCCCTACACTTCAGAGTCAGGAAATGAGTTAAGCAGAGATTTCCTGTCTTTCACTCTGCGGCTTGGTGCCTAAATTAAGTAGTCAGTGTAAGCTGAAAAACATTCATAAAAATTCGCAAAGACGGCATGTGTTTTAAGGACCCACATTGAGTCCTCTAGAGAACTTCCTCGTCTCTTAACGGCACATTAACACACACACACACACACACACACACACACACACACACACACACACA